ACAGAGCCAACCCACTCATCAATACACTCCCACGGGCACCTACGGACCTATGACCCATTCAGTACGCACCCAACAGGCACACCAGCACCACCCTTACACTCCACCGCCTGCCAACTCACAGCCGGCACACACTCCCTCGCCTTCTACGAACCAGCCATTCCCACCACCTCCACCGCCACCACTTCCAACAGCAGCCCCTACTACTCCGAACGCTACCTCATTCAAGCACAGTCCAACTCAGGACTCGTGGCATCCCACAGACTCTCACTGGGACTCTAATGCACTACACAACCATCAACTCCACCGCACCATACAGCCCACGCAATGGTCACGCCGTGTCGGCATCGCCGGACTTCCCACCTTCGATGTCTTTCCATGGCTCCTCGCATACCATGGTACGGCCGATTACACGGCCAGGACACTGAGCCACGGAAAATATTGTGGCCTCATTCCGACACGCAGCATTGCTGAGTCTGTTTTCACAACCCACCGGTTACAAGAAATTCGGGACAAGCGCCTCGACCTGGATGCTATCGCGGAAGCCATCCACACCTCTCAAGGCCTCGCAGTCCCCAACAAAACAACCCAAGAAAAGCCTTTCACGCCCCACTGATCTCCCTCGTCACTCAACAACTTCAAGCCCACGCTCGAGCAGCGGCCGAAGGTTCCGCCCTTCGTGCCCTGAAAGCCACGTCAGACGACCTGGCCCGAGCCCGCGAAAAGCTCCAAGCCCACGGCATCGAACTCACACCCCGCAAAGATGCCGGTCGTTCCTCCGCCCCCAGCGCACCAGCCGCTCCAGCAGAACCTGCAGCACACAAGCCCCCCGGTGCTGGCAGACGTCCTCCAACCAACCCATCCGTCTTTAAAAGACGACTCTCCAGATTCATGGACGGCTCCAGCCATTCTGCAATGGATGCGCGCTTTCGACCCCACGGTTCAAGAATCGGCCAAAGAAGTGCTCCGCATTCTCCAGACCAGCAAGGTCACTACTGACCAGCTAAAAGAAGCGGCTACTCGATACGGTTTGCCACTCAACCGTGTCAACAAGCTTACCATCAAGAGCTTGCAGCACACTGTCAGTATAGGGGCAGCTGTCGCCTGCTGACTCTCTCTTTGCAGCCAACACCTGCCGCGCAACACACACTTACAACAACCCTACCACTTACACCGAGCCCTTTCTACACTCATTCACCACAGCCAATACATCGAACGCGCAGAAGCCATTTTTGCTGTCGGCCTCATTCACATCACCCTCCTGTTTTGCTATCCGTCGTCCACCCAACGCTCCCAACAATGGCGACAGCGCCTACGACACCTCCAAGTGCTTCCTCACACTTACCACTACCACAACTTTCTCTCCCCCAACTCGGTTTACATCAAACTCCACTTCAACACCATCACACCACAACGGTGCTACCATAAACATGGCCACTATTATGTGGGCTCCACCGCCATCGGCATACCACACCGAGAACACAACCGCCGTGCAAAGCTCAAGCAGCTTCAAAACAACATCCCAGCCTCCGCTGAGGCCTCCAATCTCGAAGAGCCAGGTCGTACCCGAGCCCCGCACATTATCAACAAAGCCCTTCACTACCGAAATCTGACACCTCCCAAGCCCAACATTCCTCTTACAGTACCATTCCTGGCTCACGACGATTTCACCAAGCACTGCCAGCAGTGGCTACAAACCACCATCCAACAACACAAGCATCTAGCCATCCCACTCCACCTCCCCACACATCGTTTACGAGAAGCTGCCCACAGATACTTTCTCACTTTCCAAACAGCGTTCACAAAATGGCTCCGGATCCAAGCTCAGTCAACACTTGGAGCCTTTCCTTCAGCATCAATGGCGACTTCACACTACACACCTCAAACAACAACCGCGCTTCACACTCGGCGACAAAGTTGTTCTCCACCATGCGGACCATGAACTCCAACAACTCCGCATTTTCTGCCCACGCCAATACTTCACCGGAGCGCTCCACACGTGGCAAGCTCCGGAACTTTTTGAACCCCTTCCACATCTCCATTCCTCCAACATCCACGACCACCTTTCCGCCACCATCCAGGCCAGCCTACGCTCTCGATACAAATGGGGATTCAGGAAAGATTTCGCAATCCCATACAGCATTGTCCACCTCAAAGAAAAAAGCAGTGGCAGAAGGGACGTACCATCATCTCGTACTTCCACTCCCTCAGTGGCAACCTCTTACGCATCACCAGCCGAGCACTCGACATCATTTTACAACACCTTTCCCCACAACATCCAGGCCAACTGTCCATCCCACAACTATGGCGCCACTTCCATTGCTATCTTACACACACACCAGCAGACATTCCTCTACACGCGACCAACGATGACCTTGTTGGCTTCTTCAACTCAGTGCCTCAACACCGCCTTGTTGATGCCGTCCATTCTATGATCCAACAATGGCAGCACCAGAATACTACGCACACCTTGACAGTTGACATGCAAAGCCACTGGCAACCCCTTCCATCACTCTCACGTCGGCAGACACCACACAAAACATCCTACACAACGCGCCCTCCACACCTCCGACATCACAACCATTGTAGCCTTTGCACTCAACACCTGCATTTTCCGGGCATGCAATAACACCTACAAACAAATCCGAGGGGCTGGGATTGGCTCCCAACTCTCTCCTGCCCTCTGCAACGTTGCCATCACCCTCATTGAACACTCTTGGCACCAACTCCACAACAACCTTCTCCAGCACACTGCCCTCCACTTCACATACTACAGATACGTCGACAACCGCTTCATCGTGCACAACGAACACTTCCTCTCCCACCCAGCCATCCAGACCCTCATCCACCACAACTTTTTGGTGATCCAGTCGAACTGGAAACAGTGGACGACTTTCACCTCTTGGGCTTCAACATTGACCTCCCACAACGAACCATCACCTACATCCAACCCACACAGCCCTGGAAAATCAGGGACTACACCAGCGCCGGTAGCCAGCGCTTGGCTCTTTCCGGCTTAGCTTCCAGACTACAATAATTTATACATACACCTTTCCACCACAGACCGCAGCGGAAGCGGCTGAAGAGCTTATCCGGCTGTACGTCCACAAAGGACATGATCCAACAGCATGCCGGCAATTTTTGAGAAAAGGAGCACGACGCCACCGTCTCATGCGCCTGCGCCGATTTCGGCTTTCTGTGTGTGTCAACCCCTGTTCCAAAGGGTACCGAGTTTCTTGATGGTTCCATCGTGCAAGCAGGGGTCCAGGCAGTTGTGAGTTAGCCCTGGACCAACGAAGACGGGCTCACAACTGGTGAAGCGAGAAGGGACGCCTTCTTGTGTACCTGCGCCAACTGTTGATTAAGCTGTTCCAATCCTTCTTTTTTGATTCCATGGTGGTTCCACGATACCTCCCCTAAACCTTTTCCCACCGCTGACCTGCAGCCGCCTTGCCGCTGTGCGCTTTCCGCAGTCAAGTGTGAAAACCATTTTGTTAAAACACCTACACTTTCCTGGACCTTTCGCCATGCAGTTCTCTCACCTTCCTTCTCACCGTGGGAATTGAGTTAACAGCAAACCAATGTCAGAGTGTGTGTGTCTGGCTTTATCTTCGTATGCACTATGATGCCACGTCTTTAGCCCCCTACCCAACCCCCCGTGTGTTTTGTAGGGTCCTAGGTTCCCCTAGGCGTGTCCACGCTATACTATGCGTGTGTAGCACGTTTTGTCCGTAGTTACTTGTACATACATTCTCTTCAGTCAGCAGCCGCTTAATTCATTTGGCTCAAGCCCAATACCTGCAGGGTCTTACTTGGTGTTTCGATCAGGTCCAGTGTACTTCACTGCCACATGCTGCCACTTTGGGGAACCTACCCCTCACCCCCACCCCCTCTTCCACAGCGTGTGCGTGTGCGTGTGTGGCCTCCTAATAAAAATGCACACAACATGAACATCAGTAGCCCCCCACCCAACCCCCCTCCCCCTAACCCCCCCGTTTCCCCATCTTCCATATTCCAATGCGTGTGTTTGCGTGTGTTCTTGCCCCCCCAAAGGTCTGTATGAAAAATCAGTTTCACTACACACGCGGTTTTAAGTCCATTAGCTCAAACAAGATGCAAGGCAAAGAACAGGCGTTGCGCGCAGAAAAGTTTCTCTTGCGAGCTTGAGACAAAATGATGAGGGGAGCAAACTGCTTGCCAAATACATTAATCACTTGTATTGGACACCGCGACTGATGATGAAGTTTTTGGCATCTTTGTCCAGGATGACAGCCAGAAGCAAAGAGTGTAACAATGGGTTTTAAGAGAGTCAAACTTGCTCTTTTTGATGAGAACTCTGAAGCAAGAAGCTACTAGGGGCTCCTGGCATCGCTACTAGGAGCAAGGACGCTAACTAGGAACTCTGAGTCTATGAATGATGCCATTTTTGACGGACACACGGTGGGCGCAAGTCGCCACGGGCGCGATGCTGAAGGACGGGCCCTCGCGACAATGCTGTGCGCAACACACCGGGAAGAACCGCTGTATTTAGCAAGAACCATTGGCTTAAAAAATTGTGTGTTTTTTGAAAACGAAGCAAATGATGACCGCCGTGGATTGATTTCTGTGAAGGATTCTTGCATGTGGAGCCAATCCTGCAGGTGTGGTTTCTGGAAACCGTCAGTTCTGGATGGATCAGAATACGCCACTGGCTAGCGTCTGCTGTGGTCAAAGGGTCCACGTGTCTAAAGGCGTTTTAGCCCTACGACACTCTTCTGGCGCACGCCGCATGATCATTTGGTGATTGAAACCTTTACGGCGTTGGTTTCGTGCATGTTTTGTTTCAAGTTTTTGCAACGCGATGTTTATAAGTTGACTAGTAGAAACAGTTGGCAATTGTAACCTGACGGTGCTCTTATGTAACTCTTCAGTAACACCCCAGCAAATAGTTGAAACCTGCTGGCGGCACAACTTTGTGGTGAGCACATTTGAGGGCATACTCACCAAGCACCCATCTGAGTCGCCATCGCTCCAATTGATGAGCAGTTTGGCGCTTGAAGTGGAATAGACAACAATGCCCTCGTGCCGGGCACCCTCCAGCTCCATAAACACCCTGAGTCACAGCAACACATACATAAAACGAGCACTTCGAGCGTGGACATGACGCGAAAACTGTCAGAATTTGACCGGCAACGACGATAAAAATACAAAGTGGCTGGGCCCACCAGCGTATGCGGGCAAATTGTTTGCCAAACATGTTCGACTTGCGTTTGCGTCGTTTTTTTGCCCCGCTCTCTGAACCTCATCCACGCGCCCTGCGGCCTGTCTTCACCCATTGCCTTCAACACAGTTGGCGGATGCTGGTACAGCGGCTGCCAAATCATTTTGTCTTCGTAGATGCGGCCTCGCTCATGCACACAGCAATAGAACGCACCGCTGTACAACTGAACAACGAGCAATGACAACATGGAAACGAACATGCGCACAACTAGTCTGGAAGAAAAACATAGATGCAAACCCAGAAGCCGAAAATAATGCGAAGGAAAAGAACATGTGTGACCAGAAGAAGAAAAGTTTTTTGCAAAATAAAGCGGCACGGGGCGTGCATTCTTCGAGGGAAGGAAGCACCTCTCGAAAGGAAACCTGTAGTTAAAGACCGGCTTTGAAAAGTTGCACGCCTAAGTGCAAGTGGGCGATATCCGTCAAGAAATATTGCACGCTGCAGTCTGTGCACTTGCACCATCCCCCTCCCCACCTTCCCACCGACCCAGCTCCCCTCAGCACCTTCCACGCAAACCCGCCATTCCCTCTGCGGCACCTGCGGGGCGACTGCCAAGCAATTCAAAAAAATGCACGCGCGGGGCGCAGGCACTGGGCTCTTCGTGGGCCAGGACGAAGAGCTTGTTGTCTCGTGGAAGAGCCACGCAAATGACCAGTGAGTTGTTGAAGGAACTGGATTTCAAGCACCCTTCTCAACCCCCCATCCCTAGCTGACGCACGCCGTGCACTGGAGCAGACAGCTTGCACGCGGTGTCTCGAGGCCTGCTTGCGCAGAAGCTTCAATGTTGGTTGGATAGCCCTTGCACTTGGATGGAAGCTTGCTTTTGGGCTTAACACATGGGCTGCATAGCCCTTTTACTGTCCTTTTTTGGGCTGAATAGCCCCGCTCTGTCATTCTGTGGCCCTGTGGCCACTGACGTACGCACGCTCTCACGCAGGAGCTTGCCTGGAAGCTCCAGGAACGCGACACCATGTTGGAATTTAGCGCCGGCCCGTTTAAACGAAACAACACTGCACTTGTCACTTTACCTATCACACAAATCAAAAACGTGGTCGCGTGGCTGGCGCAAAGTAATCCTACCTAACCCTGCAGCGTGATCCTTATGGCGGATTCGTTCGACCTAAGTGTGAGGTTGCGGTGTTCTCTGCCCACTGCTTAGGTGATCCGGCTTCCAGCGCAACTCAAACACTTCTTCTTCAGCGATTGGATTGTTTGTCGCTCCATCCCCTGGACTGAGCAACCTCTGGAATCTCTCTGGGGCCAAGCCATATAGAAGCGCTCACTGCCCTCCTGTCCGCACGTTTCATTCTGGGTGAGTCTAAATGCCGAAGCCACTTGAAGACTGCCGTGGCCCACCCCAAGTCCGTAGAGCATCCTGTGACCTCTCGAAGCCACAGCATCAAGATCAAGGATCCCACAAGTTTCAGCACCTGTTTACAAATCCACACCGCAGTCATGATCACGGCAATGGCCAGCACACAGCGGGCAGCACACCGCCGCCAACCCTAGATCGTCCATCAAACTCGGAGAACCATTGGTGCAACCCTGCTTCTCCACCTGTGCGTCTTCTGAGCCATGCTTGCAAACCGGTCATGGATTGCCGCTCGCCGCCAAATTCGCGACAACAATGCTGAAACCAAAAAAAATCTGGCCATCCTGTGGCCGCGCGCGCAACCAGGAGCTTCATCCCACGGAACCCAAAACCTGCCAACCGCGCAACTTCCTCAAAAGTAACGGCTACAACTAGCCTCCAAGAAAACATGGAAAACTGAAGAAAATACAATTATAGATACGCGGACAGGAGGGCCAAAAGAAGAGCAAAAAGATGCGCTTACCGACTCAAAGAATCTGAAGCATCGACGGCCGACTTGTGCTTCGGCAAGTGACCAGCCTAGAAGAGATTTGTCATCCATCCGGCGCCATCTTCCGTGCAGCTTCCCGCCAAAAAGGCCTCAGGCCCACCACCCGCCAACCCGAAACTATCTTCCGTAAGCCCCTAGTAGCGTGCATTGCTCCTAGTAGCGATGCCAGGAGCCCGTAGTAGCGTCCTTGCTCCTAGTAGTAAGGCCAGGAGCCCCTAGTAGTATTTTTGCCCACCTCGATTCACGGACTTCTCATCTTGCTGAAGCTTGAGCGCGTCAGCCACCGAATGCATGGTTTCAACTGTGACCATTTGCTGGTGATCCGCGCCATCCTCCAGAGCTTGCTGCACGGGCTCCCCAAAAGAAACAAACATCAATAATAAGTGTGAGAGTGGCAATGAGTTGTTTGAAAAACGAGTGATCCCCACCAGAGCATTATACTCTGCTGATCACCGGCAGCGTTGCTGCAAGAAGCGTCTATCTTACAATTTTTTGGGCCATATATTCTGGCATTCTATCTAGCGTACCTTCTGGCCTTCTGTCTGGCGTACATTCGGGCATTCTATGTGGCATTATACTGTGGCATTCTATCTTACATATATTCTTGCATTCTATTTGGCAAACCTGTTGGCATTCTACATGGCATATTCTGGCATTCTATCCTGCGCATATTCTTGCACTCTATTTGGCAAAATTTCTGGTCATTCTATCTGGCAAGTACTCTGGCATTCTATCTGGCATAGATTCTTGCATTCCATCTGGCGTGGATTTAACAATATGTATATATATAACGATCTATCTAGCATACATTCTGGCACAGTTCTGTCTGGCATGATTGGCATTTTTTTGTGGCACACGTTCTCCCAGTCTATCTGGCATGTTCTAGCATTCTATGTTGCATATTTTCTGATAGCCATGTGACCTTTTTCTGGCACTCTTTCCAGCAATGTATACCTTCTGGTATATATATATATACTCTGGCGTTCTGACAGACATATTTTCTCGCGTTCTATCTGGCATAATTGCTGACATTCTTTCTGGCATTCATCTGACTCCGATCTAGCGCAATCTAGCGCTTGCGGTTGATGCCTGGCGGTCCCAATTGCGATCTGGTACTTGTGGAGAACGAGGCGGGCAGAGGAGAGGAGACGAGAGGAGACGAGAGGAGACGAGACGAGACGAGACGAGAAGAGGAGAAGAGGAGAAGCGGAGAAGCGGAGAAGAGCAGAAGAGCAGAAGAGGAGAAGAGGAGAAGAGGAGAAGAGGAGAGGAGGAGAAGAGGAGAAGGGGAGAAGGGGAGAAGAGGAGAGGAGGAGAGGAGAAGAGGAGGAGAGGAGAAGAAGCGAAGAGAGGAGAAGAGAGGAGAAGAGGACAAGAGAGGAGACGAGAGAGGAGAGGAGAGAAGAGAGGAGAGGGGAGAGGAGAGAGGAGAGGGGAGAGGAGAGGAGAGAGGAGAGGAGAGGAGCGGAGAAGAGAGGAGAAGAGAGGGGAAGAGAGGAGAAGAGAGGAGAACCTAGACATGCGTTTGTACACCTGTTAGGTGTACATAGCTCCATTCGTACAAGTTAGTGTTTTTTCACGTACATACGTGTTTTTTTTAATGCATTTTCACGCCACCAACGTTGGCAGAATTGGAATCCACAGCTATGGACATCAAGGGGAGCTGCAAACGCATACTAAAATCTATGCTCGAGCTAAGAAAAGTTGCACAGTTTGCAAGGCACTTGCTTCAGTGTCAGCCAAAAAACAAAGGAGCTAGATGTATACATCTAGCTCCTTTGATATATATATATATAGGAAAATATTAGAGGGAAACCTGGTTGAAGCCATCTTGGGGACAAGGGTGAACAAACACAGAACGTGTACCCCGATCGATCGGTCGGCTGAGCTTCCGCTGCCATTTTTCCGCGCTCACGCCGGCGTGTTGCCTGCGAGTTTCGTGGGGAGGCCCAACATGAAGCGACGAAGTGTGTTGACCGCCGCAGTTCTCCGATGAACCTGGCGTGAAATCCAGGCCCATTTTCTCATTGCATCTTCATCCATCCACGTGGAGTTGAACGATGCATTGAGCTTTGAAGCTCTGCGTTCATGAACGACATGCCACAGTAAGTGGAACTTGGGGCGCACTTTCCACAACCTTTGCCCCTGCGCGAGTGCATTTGCAGCCAATGTAAGGTAGCTCACTAAAAAAAGGTGGCCGACGTGAAGTTTATGTAGCTCCTCCTGCGCAGTCAGGAAAGTCCCACTTCGAGTCAAGAGCCGCATCAGGGAGTCAGCAGCCCATAGGGAACACGCCATGAGATCATTCCCTGTGTCCCTTGTCGTGACCTCATGCACGAGCCATGAGGTCACGACAAAGGTGTCATACCCCCTTGCAGCGAAGCTCTGGATATATCTCATCCCAATTTAAGTTCGACTTAGTCAAACGTCGTAGGGTCAAGTGGAGCCGTTGGTTTCGCGCATAGTCTCGCAATCTGCAAGTTGCACTCTCCAACCGCTCTTCCTGATTCCTCCCTGGCCAATACCCGGCTCGAGCAGCAAGGAATTTAATGCAGGAACCACACATGTCACGGCCGCAGCCTAAGTGATACGCATGCAAAATGTCCACCGAGAGCATCTTCAAGCTGAAGCCGTCGACGCACGCAAGCGCAGGGCGGATGGCCCAAGGAGCATCTCGATAAATTGTAGCGACCCAAGGCGCATCACTTTGTATGTTCGTGAACGCCCATCTAGCGTCCTCTGATTTTTGTGTTGCACGGTGCATCCAGCAAATCTGCAGGGTTCCGACTTCGCACACTTTAAAAATTTAGTTTTTTGCAGAACACGCATTGATTTAAACCACCGCAAGGATGGTTGCAGGGGGACATGAACATGTATGTTTATCAACGCTTGGCCTCCTCAGTCGTTGCATACCGTGTAAAATTGAATACTTGATACAGGAACTTCCAGTCCCCCTTGAAGTGCGCAATAGCAAACTTCAATGTGCATACCTGAGCCACAAGGAAAGGGGCCCATTCTTAAGTACACCATCTTTGAGAATCAGATAAAACAGACTAAGAAAGAGTTCAAGGCATTGTTCAAAACATACAAGGCACATATTCATTCGTTTCATGGTCAACGATGTCCACTCCAGCTCGAAAAAAAGTTGGTTGAAGCTATCGCATATAGCCCGAGTGGCAGCTTGAAGAGTCAGGTTGATACCGTCATCATTATAGACATGCCTAGGTATAGTGGGCTCTTGTGGAAATGGGTTTTGTACATGCCCAGCTCACTAAGTCGAAGACACCTAGCTATTCCTAGCTAGACATAGCGTCAAACCAAAAAGCAAGGCATATATTCCTGCTCAAACCCAGGTGCATGGCGGATGGAATCGTGCAGATCAAGAACCTGCTCAAGGCAGAGTTGGTCTTGAAGGGACTCAAGTCTGGGCACCAGTGGAAATTCATCCATGATCCACCAAGCGCAGTGCCCTCATCGCCTCAAAGACTTCAACATATCCGAGTATTTCATATTTCGTTGAGGGCTGAGACATGCTATCAACTATCATATGAAAGGGAAACAAAAAGCTGCATAATACCAAAGAAGGTGCCATAGAGTGTCAAAGGAACTGTCATGGCCTCGTTCCCAATGACAGGGTGGTCAGGGTAGTCAAGAAGTAGGTTCCTCCAATACCAGTCCATTTTGTCAAACTGAGTGAGGTATCGAAGGTGACCATGGACAATCATGGCCTTAACCTCAATATCAGTGTAAGTAGCCCCCCAAAAAAAAACGCATCTCGAGGCCTGGAATAAATAGAAAGTAAAAGCAACAGATCAGTCAAGATCATCGCGTCGATCTACAACGGTTTGTTTTAGTTTTGTAGTCTCCGGTCGTTTCACGATATGACTCGAGTTGTCGATACGGCTATGATTTTCTGCCAAAAGTCCAAATCAGCTGGAAGAAGGAACGGCCAGGATTGAAGTTCAGTTCTGCCAGTATTTTGGTCAACCAAGACTGGCAACTCTATATAGGACAGCGACACATCAAAGGTAAGGGGTCTGTGACTAGTGGGGAAGTTGGACCCAGACATGCTCGGTGAACAAGCTCTTCACGACGACTTATCTTTACTTAAGGGGTCTGTGAATAGGTGGGAAGTTGACCCAGACATGCCACCCACACAAGGACACAATGAACAACCTGAAATGAACTATGTCCCAAGATTCCTCTCAAAGATCTCCGAATTGTAGATCCGCCAAATCTCACAGGCGTGCCGCATCGAAGAAGCGCCAGCACCAACTCCGCGCGCCAGCCTAGCTTGGATGTCGAGGGAAGGGTGCAAGTGGAGTCAAGACTCACCAACTTAGAGAAAAATCTTTCAAAACTCAAGACATAAGCTTCAAAAGAATGCTTGTAAAAATTAAATGAGATGTATCAAAGTGACGCTTCATCAAGACGATTTAATTGCTCTCTTTGTCGGGGATCTTCCCAATCAGCACCTGCGTGAGGCAAGGTACATACAAGGACCCACAAAACTCTTGTTGCACAGATCTCGAAAGACCATTTTTGCCCGTCATCCATCCAAGCTCCATTGTTAACAATGGTCCAACAGCTATTCAAAATCAGAATGGCCTATGCTAGCTATGCGCACCCAGAATCCCATTGAATCGGCTGGTCGAGGCCCCTCTACCCATCAGTATAAGTTCTTTGTTGGTTTATTGAAAGAATCAATTGAGGTTGCATCCATTGACATCCATATATACAGGCGTAGGCTACAGGCACCCTTCTCAGCCCACACGGATTCACCCTGCACAGCGATCCGCCAGCCACTCAGAGAACATCAGCACTAGGATTGGGCATCTTTGTTCTGCTTCTTGAGCTCGGAAATCACGGCCTTGGCCTGAGCCCGGATCATCTTCATTCGGGCCACCTGAGATTGCCAAGTCCCCGCAACACAAGAAGTAGGCTCTATATAGGTGTAGGGGACTCGGCATTAGAAGTGATCCTTGGCATACACAAAGAATAGAAAAACACATTAAAATAGAGTTGGCATAGAAGTCAAGGTGCATGATCAGTGATCTCAGTTTGAAGATCCTGCAAATCACCGATGGATTGTAGATCTTTGAGCCTTACTGGGGAATGCAATGAATGACAAAACAGCAGAACTTAAGATCCTCAGAGGCTTTAAGATTATTTTTCTTCAGCCTTGGGTCTCACCTAGATCTCATAACATACACTGCGCAAAATAAAGAGGTCGGGACAATATTTTTGAATCAAACGAAGTACTCATCATTGAACTCCTCATAGCGCTTCTTATATTGCATAATAGACGCGTGAAGGCTGTGATCAGATGGAAGGTCCAGAGCAATATTGCATCCATTGATTTCCTTCTTGAGTTGGGTGCCTCGAGGCGCCAACGATGGAAGATATAATACCAAAATCAGAAACCTGGGTTTTTGAAAAAGTTCACTAGAGGAAAACAGTTAAATAGAACAAGGCCTAGCCAGGCCACAAAGAGATGACTTCAGCACATCAGGCTTGGTAGGTTCCACCTCTGCCACCTGGCCAGCAGTGGCCTTGGCCTTGGTCTTGGGCTTTGCCTTGGGTTTGGGCTTAGGGCCGCCTCCACCG